ACAAACGAGGTGAGCCAAATTCTGCTCCGATACCATGATAGAATTTAGGATTGGGTGTGGACAACTGAATTGGGCAACAAGACACTTGGGTTGAACCACATTAAAAGATTGAATCCAATCGATTAGTTAGTTCAACAAAAACTCAAGAGCTTATATACTGATTATTTTGGTCTTGAACTTCCAATGTGGGATGACACTCTAACAGTTGAACATTAGGAAAAAAAATTAGATATTTTAATTAATTTAGGGTGTTATTCTGAAGGGTATAATTATTTTTTCAAACACATGTCACATACCTTTCTCTGCAGAAGATGATACGATGATGAGGAAAAGAACTCCAAGCAGAGAAGAAGTTCCATGCCTCCCTGCAGAAGAGGCCATTATATAATTTGTGTGAATGGAAGAATAAAAAAGATCAAACTAGACTCACTCTATATATATATACTCCTTCCACAAAGGATGCTGTTGGTAGTATAAAATATATCGTGGGCCTTAAAAATTTGGTTTAGTTGATTCTTTTGAGATGCTATCCACGCCTTGATTAGTGATTACCAAAAGATTACGAGTTCAAATCTTATTGTCACCCAATTTAAACAAAATTAGATTAATTTCATGTTCAACCACATGTTTGAACTTTTGGTTGAATTGGTTTCTTTGACAGATACACCCCTGATTTTGACATAACATCCCTACTTTTCAATCAATTTTTTTTTATTTTTTCAATCGATTTACACACTCTCTCTTACTTTTTTTAAAATCATTTTTAAACACATCGTCTCTCCTAGTTTTTTAAATTACTTTTACACTCTCTCCCTACATTTTTCTTTTTGACAACATACATTTTATGTTTAACAACTCTAAATTTTCTTTAGGCTCTGTTTGATACACGAAATTCAAACTATGAAATTTGGATTCAGGACAACTTAACAACTTTAGTTCTGCTGTTTGGTAGGACAAAATCTGTGAATTTGGAATTGATAGTTCCAAAAGTGAATTGAAACTAAAGAGTTTAATTTCATCTAAATCAATTTCATATAAATACAACTCTCAACTCAATTCTAGTTATGTCAATTTCGGATAGCAAAAGACTCTTAGGGGCTGTTTGGCAACTTCTGAATAGGTAAGTGCTGAACCAGTAAAAGGTCTGAACCATTAAGTGCTGAACCAGTAAGAGGTCTGAACCATTAAGAGCTAGTATATTGCTTAACTATTCAGAGGCAAATGTCAGATCCATTCAGATAAGAGGTCTTAACCATTCAGACTCTGTATAATACTTAACCATTCAGAGGCAAATCTCTTAACAATTCAGACATCTGAACCATTAAGAGACTGAAACAAACAGTCTGAATCATTAAGTGCTGAACCATTCAGACATCTGAACCATTAAGAGACTGAAACAAACAGCCCCTTAATCTCTTAGAATAAACCTTTGGCATGGGAAAAAGGGAGTACACATATTTATGGAACAAGAGTACGAGTATTATACGGAGTATTTAATAACTACACATATGTGAAATTGTGAACTCATGTACATCACCAGCAAGATATTTCTTGTTTATCTTTTCAATCCAATTCAAAATTTAAAAAAATGAAAACTGAATGAATAATCAATAATCGAGGTAATAAGTATATTATTTTTTTTTATTTTTCTCTTTAGAAAAATATATAGTCTAAAATAATGTGTAGACTATCTTTTCAAAGTGTGTTTCTGTGGTTCTAATGTTACGTAGAATGTGATTTTTTTTTACATTTTTCATAGACTTATAAATTTATTTTTTTAAAAAAAACAATTTTTTTATATTTTATCTAATAAGATCCATAAAATAAGCATAGATCTAATTAAAACTAGTGAGATTTGTACTTAATAAGACTAAAACATGAGTCATTTTCTAATGTAGGACTTAAATTTTTTTATTCGGTGAATATGACTTGATAATGTCTATTGAGAAGAACAATGATCAAGTGATACTGGACATTTAATTGAATAATAACTAATATACAATGACCAATGGTTCTACATTAGAATATAAAAACATATGGTCTTATATTGAGAAAGTCATTATATTTTAGTTTTATTTAGATAAATTACCCTTAAAACTATAGAAAGATTTGTCATCTTTTCAACACTTTTTTTAATCCTATCCTATATATATATATATATATATATATGTGTGTGTAAAGTTAGGTTCAATTCTTGGAGTGTTGACATGTGGCATGCCACATAATCATCCACATGTGCATTCCTTGTTGAGATGGATGAATTTTATTGGTTCATTTAATTATTTAAAAATATCTTTTAACTCATTTTATTGTATAGTATTACATTCAATAAATATTATATTTTAGTATTAAAAAACATTACTTTAATTATACTTTGTATAAAAATGTGATTTTTTTAACAATTTTATAAACATATATATCATCATTGTAATATATATACACACACACACACGCACACATACATACATACATACATAGATATATGTATGTATGTATATGTATATACACACACACACACATACATACATTAATTAGTTGATTTTTTATTATAATGTTTCATTAATTAAAACCACTTTTATTAGTACTTTATTCAATAATGGCCATTAGTTTTGTATAAACTTTTTGTTTTTAAATAAACATACCAATATATATTCCACGAGTTTAAAACATATTCTGTTCACATAATTAAATTATATGTATAAAATATTTTTTTAACTTTATCGATGTTTTGAAAACTAAAGTTTTATATGATTTTTAAAAACAATAAATTATTTCTCTTTTACTACTTTTAAAGAAAATACTTATAGAATTTTTAGTGCATGTACATCTATATTTAAATTATATTATTTGAAAAAAGATATATCACTAACACATATTATGTCACTATTAAAAAACTAAAATAAATAAAATTTTATTTATAGAATGACAAAAATTTAGAATATATACGAGCTCGTGCGAAGCACGAGGTTAAAACTAGTAGTCCGTACTCTGTAGTTAGTATCCGTGTAGTCCAATTGAAATATGTGTTCGCGGTTAATTTATAGACACGTTGACCCACACAATAATGACTCCATAAGTAGTACGGAGTAATAACTATGAGAGGGGCTAGATGTTACAAAGTCAATATAGTCATGTGGTTGATCTTCACCCACCTTGCCCACATGTATACTTGGTTAGTTAGAGCATCTCTAATAATTATGAAGTAGGTATAGATTATACTCCTTTGGTCATAGTCTATTTATCTAATTTGATTTTTTAGAGTCAAACTTGATAAATTTTAATCATCATTTACTCTCACTTTGTATTACCCGGAGTACATAGTAATACAATAAAATTAATTTTTGGAAATTCTGAACAAGATAAATCTAATGAAATAATTTTTATATTAATACAATTACTGTACAATTTTTATTTAATTGATATCCAAAATTTGTCCAATCTAGTTTGACTCAAAAAAGTTAAATTAGATGTTAAAGTACATTTCACATCGAAAGTTCAAGAGTAAAATAATCCAGTATATAAGCACTTGAGTTAAACTAATTAATCGATTGGATTCAATCTTTTAATGTGGTTCAGCCCAAGTGTTTTATTGTCCAATCCAGTTGTCTTTATCCCATCCTAAATTCTATCACGGTATCAGCAGGTTTTGATCCACCTCGTTTGTCAAGGTGTCTGTCTAGACGTTCATTCCTAGCGTCCGGTTAGTCTTTAGCCCAATTGTCTGTATGGAGTATCTACCCAACGGCCTGTGGCCCGTTTAACGCGATTGCTCGTCTAGAAGTCCATACTCAGTGGCTCGTGGTCCTTTAGGTGTTGGCGCTCAAAAAAAATCAAGGGAATGAGAGTTCATTTGCACGTGGCCAACCGGTTCGATAAAATGACCCAATTGTTCACTTGAGGAGGAATGTTAAAGTGCATCTCGATTGAATTCAATCTTTTAATGTGGTTCAACTCAAATGTCTTATTGTTCAATCCAGTTGTTTTTATCTCATCCTAAATTCTATCATTAGACAAATACAATTGGATGAGATAGTAATTTGAGAATTAAGTCAAGCAAATTTGATGCTCCAGGGGTTTGGCAATTTTTGACAAGCTTACTACAAATAAAAATAGTTTGCCTCTAATAGCAAGCTCGGTAAAAATATAGCTAGTCGAAAAGAAGAAGAAAAAGCTATGTGGTTAGGGTTTTCATGTGCCACCACACATTTGTTTCCTCATATTTAGTGCCAATACGCAAGCATGAGAAAAATATAAATTTATTTTTTACAAAAAATATTATTTAATTTTTTCACAAAAACAATTACTCCCTCCGTTCCTAAAACTCTTTTCCTTTCTTTTTTCATCCGTTCCAAAAACACTTCTTATTTCTAATAAGAAGTCATTTTTACCCTCACTTTTTCATAACCCATCTATCACATCATACATTTTTACTAATAATCTACCATCAAATCCTACTTTTACACTTTCCTTAAATCTCTTCAAAATCAAAACATCTCATGTTTAAAGGGACAGAGGGAATATTATTTTATTTAAATTTATATTTTTGAATTGCATACTTACGGAGTATTACTTAATCTTTATAATATAAAATAATAAAATTCAAAAAACTAACTAAAATAGTATACACTCCTAGCTCAAAATTCTTCCCTTCCATGATACGATTCGTGCAAGATCTGAATCACCACACAGTAATGTGATGGATATCGGGTCTGATAGGCCCGACTCTAGGCCCAAATAAAGGCCCATAATAGCCCAAAAGGTGGGTCAGACGGAGATGACGGGCCAAGCCCGTTATTGCGCATATGGCAGGTAGAGAAAGACGGCCTAGTCATAGGATAGATCAAGGTGACCCAGTCTAAGGGAAGAATGGGACACGTGGCCCACATCATCAAGTTGTGGACGAAATGGGAAGAGAACGAGACTGGAAAAGGATGAATCACAACCCCATGATCTCCATAATCCTTTTCACTTTGTATAATTTTAATTACAATATTAGGAATACTATAAAAGGGGGGAGAACCCGCCATTGTAAAGAGAGAGAATTGAATACTCAATAGAAGAATATTATCGAGTGATTATATCTTCCTGATTCATATCTTGTTCTTGGTCCGCCATCTGATCGGGTTAATCCCATCATTGGTGCTTTCATTGAGAGTTACTGTGAGATAAGGCTGTGAGATTATGGCCGGACGAAGGACGAGACGTAGCACTACTGCTTCCGCCCAGTCGACGGTAAGGAGTGATAACCCTGAGCAGGGTATGATCGTTCCTGTCAATGGGTTGGAAACGGCATTGAATAATGTGGCTAACATGATGGCCAACATTATGGAACGATTGGATAAGGCTCTTCCAGGTCCATCCGGTATCCGGGACATCCCTACCGGGCAACCCCGTCAGGTATTGCGTACTGCGAGTTCTCCTATCCTCCAGGAGCTTCATGATCCGGAAGAGGTTGAGAAGGAGAGACGAGCCATTGCCAAACGTTGGGCGGAGGAGTTGGCCTGAAATAGTAAGGTGAATGAGGACCGGGCCAAGGATGCAAGCCGAATCGTCAGCGATGGAAACGAAAACCCGCGGCGATCCGTCTTTGAAAGGATATCTCGCCAGAAGGCTCACGTTAGTGAGAGGCTGGGGAAGAATCCGGATAAGGCACCCCAGGGTTGGATACGACCCCAGGCTAGCCAGGTGGCATCTTCTAACCGCGAACCCCGGCAGCGAAACGGCCGTGGTGGGATCCAAGCGCCGGTCCGATCAATGATGAATTTGGAGGAAGACGAAGTTCAAAGCGAAGCCAGGGTCCCAGCGCCACGGCGTTTGGGGCCGCCGGTACCGGAAACTGGTGAGTTCCAGGATCTGAGGCAGCAGATCCAGGAGATGCAGAGGAAGATAAACAAGGGTCGAGTGTTCACTACCCGTACGAATACTCCCCTGGCCCCGGAGATCTTTACGGAACCATATCCGCAGGGATTCAAAATGCCGTTCGTTAAGCGTTATGATGGGGAGTCAGACCCCCAGGAACACATAAACAGCTATGTCTAAGTGATGATTGCCGTAGACGCCAGTGACGCACTCATGTGCCGGTGCTTCTTGCAGACAGTTGATAGCAAGGTCGCGGATTGGGTCAACCGTATTCCTGCCGGGTCGATCCGGACATGGGATGAATTGGGACTACGGTTCCTAGAGCATTTTGCCGGGAACTGCCGTCCCAAGAAGCATTTCACTCACTTAGCTTCAGTACGACATAAGCATGGAGAATCCTTGAAGAATTTCCTTATCCGATGGAGGAAAGAGTCCATGGAGGTTGAAGGAACCGACGATAAATCCATGTTGGCTATGTTCACAGCGGCATTACAGGATGGACTCCTTCACACCGATCTTACTACTCATCCCCCGGATACCTTCGAAGAAGCAATTGTCCGGGCGGGGAGGTATGTGACCCTAGAAGAAAGAAAGGAGGAAAAGAAAGAGAAGACTCCCAAAGAGGAAGAGAAGACCGGAAATAAGAAGCCGTTTAAAAATAAGAAGCAGGGTTTCCCGGACGGCCCAAGAGGCTCCAAAAAGTATAGTAAAATGCTTATGTATAGTGCCAAATTATCACAGTGTGAACATCTATTTAAGAAATAAAAACATAAAACTCCAATTTTGATATTTTCTCTATGCTTTACTTCTATTTAGGTGATTGAAGAAAAATGTATAAAAAATTGCGCAGTTAACCTTTTCAAACAGTAGAATATTACATCATAGATCTAGGACTCGTAAGTCGTAACATAACTATACATGGTCCGTTGAATTCCAAAAATAAAAAATATAAAAAATATAACAAAAGTTGTAAGTAAATAAATGCAAGTATGCGTTTTTATTTTGGAAAATTCATAAAAATACTCCCAAACTTACTATTACTTCCAGAATTATCTCATATTTAAATCGTTACTTCATCGTTGCTTGGTCATCATGTCGCTCTGCTAATGCTAAATGGACAATTATTTAAGAGTGTCCACTTGTAATTTTCCATTTTAAACAATCAAATTAACTTGCCTTAATTGTATCTCGGTCGTCTTTTTCGTGCATCTTTCTCTTTTTTAAATTTTCTAAGGGTGTTTTTTTCATCTAAACTTTTCGAACTGGATCTAAACTTTTTAGGCTAATCTGATCTAATCTGGTCCGAGTAATTAAATCTAAATGAATTTGACATGATCTGAATGGGTCTGATCCATCTAATTGTAGTATAATTTAAAGATGTTGCTAATAGCATGTAATTAAATTATCCATTTTACATTAAAAGAACAACATACATGATGACTAGGCAGCGCCTAAGTAACAATATAAATATGAGACTACTTTGAAGTTAATGACGTAAAATAATGAATTTAGGAATATTTATGTAAATTCCTGAATTTTTGGTGTATTTGTGTCAACTTTTCTTTTATTTTTTAAAGTGTTCTATCCCCTGTATTGTATAACTTCATAAAGAAAATTTAATATTTCTCCCATTTTCTTTTATGAATTTTCGTTCTATAAAAATTTTGATAACATGAATTTCACTCTCTAGCATTAATTGTAATTACAAAATGTATACTACTGCCTCCGTTACAAAAAAAATCTTTACATTTTGATTTTTTGTTAAACAACAACACAGTAAAAATTAAGAACCACTTATATAATTTCTTATAATTAAGAACTAAATATGAAAATCCACAATATTTATGGAATTTATTATGATACTCGGTAATAGGGAGTATTAATAGCTAACCACACTTGCTGTAAAAAAATACCCATTACCCACCCTCTTTCTCGACATGACATCGTCATTTCAGTTCAACCAGGTATGGAATCCATTATCCGGATTTTATCCACTTTTTTTTCTTTAATTTCATTCGAAATCTGTTCGATTTGTACGAAGTATAGCAACAGATCCTGCAATATCATTGATTATGATCACATACTTCAGTATATAATTGCATTCTCCTAGTGAAACATTGATTTCTGCTATTTTCCTCAAAATTTATGTTGTTTTCTCGAAGAGTTTGTTTTCATACACAATTTCAATCATTGTTAGGGATTCAATTTGACTTTGATCTTGGGCTTGTTCTGAATATAATTACTTTTTGGTTGAGTAGATTTGGTTCCTTACATGATATGAGCTTGTTGACCAAAAGGTCACGAGTTCAAAACTCACCGCCTTTTAGTTTAAAAAAGATTATGGTTTATGGTGCGAAGCTCGAAGCGGTGACCCTTACACGTGAGGGCAGTGTTAGAATTTAATAATCTTTTCTGGGTCTACAACCATAAGTTTGAGCTGTTGGTATTAGTTGGGTTTGTTCCTTGACCGATTAAGATATTGATTAGGGTATAAAGTACTTGGTTATTAATAATATGTTTGGTTAGCTTAAAACAAAAAACTAGGGGAGAAAAGCAAAGCTGATGAATGCTGCTTCACGCACGTCTAATGAGCCATCACAACTTTTTGATTTTAGCCAACACCCCTTCTAATCCAAACCTTTTGGAAAACTTTTCCTCCTTGAAAGACGTTTTATTTTCCGAATGCCACACATTGTTCCTCCGGAAGCTCCGAATTTATTGTGTTAAGTTTGACTTCACGGATGTGATGTAATTTGCCCGTGAATATAGATCAAGGAGGCACAAAACAACAAATCCAGTAAAATTGCAATAAAAGTAAGGTTTGGGAAGGGCATGTGTATGTTGAGTCTAGACTTAACCCATACTCGAAACTACAAATGTTGTTTCCAAGAGACTCCTAGGAGTCCTAGCTCAAACACACTCAATAATTTTTTTGACCACTAATAACTCTATTACGATTGCAGTATCTGTCCATATGTACTCAAACACACTCAACATTAACTAACAAAGAAAGCACACAACACATATTAGCAAAGAACAAAGAGCAAAGAAAAGCACACATAGTCACAAAACACACAAACTGTCAAATAGCAAACTAAGAGCAAAGAAAAGTGCACATAGTCACAAGACACACAAGCTGACCCCAAGCCTGGAAAGCGCCCGCACAAAACAACCACCAAGGCCCAATAGCCTACCCAACTACTTGATCTAGTATTAGATTTCCAGGCATTCCTATCTAAGGTCATATCCTAAAAGTCTAAGTCCTGTCTAATCACCTCCTTCCAACTCTTTCTAGGTCTACCCCTTCCCCTACCTTCACCCACTATCGCAAGCCTCTCACATCTTCTCTTCACGTACCCAAACCACCTTAACCTAGCATTCGGCAACTTATCTTACACATGTGCCACTTCTACCCGTCCCTCAATAACCTGGTTCTGAATCTCATACAACTTCATGTGCCTACACATCTACCGCAACATCCACATCCCTACCACATGAAGTTGACAAATGTGACTTTTTTTCCACCACCAAGCACTTTGCTAGGTAAGGCATATCTGATGTGGCTACTAAGTACTAACTGATAGAACTTCCTTTCATGCCAACCGATAGCCACTTGCTGCAAAAGACACCCCTTCTATACGATAACAAACATCCCCATGCCATCTATCTCAGCATCTGCCTAAATGGTCGAACCTAGATACCAAGAGGGCAAGAGGCAAACTCTATCTGAACTTACTGATGTAGTTCCCTCCGGCTCGTGTAAATTGAATGAAGTAAAGCAAGAGGATAAAACTAAGATGATACTAGTCAACATTTTTTGTGTTTTCTCCCTGGTGGCATATAAAGTGGTGATCCAGGGACACACATGCAACTCGGGTTTGAATTGTTCGTGAGATGTGTATTATACTATTATCTTTCGAGATCGACAACCGGGTTGCCAAATGATGTCTTGACCATTATTTTCTGATGAAACTCTTCGACTTGTTTGAATCCAATGATCTGCGAGAACGCCAGTATTTGAAGAATATTCTTCACCAAATATATGGGAGATTCATTGTTCACCATCAATTTGAAACCGTATAAATAGGAACACAAAAATCATAATGGGATAGGCATGTCGAGATTCTTACGTGTGTGTGATCAATGGGTTCAAATTTTGAATAAAGGAAGAGCATATGTTGTCCCCTGTTCTGGCACTCATTCCTCTGATCTCTAAAAGGCGAATTGTGTGTTTGAGTATCATCAACATTTGTCATATTGCACTTCATTGTTTGTTGAGTCTTCGTACTCATCTTTTTGAGTCTTCGTACACACACCCTCCCCAGACATGCTGATGCGGGATTCTACTGGGTTGTTATCATCCTTTTGAATTTCAACAATGTGTGGTTCTTGATCCAAGCCTTGATGATTGTATTTGCATTTAGTGTTTACTAGATAGGATAACTTGTTGTACCCACTTGGTTTTTAGAAAATAGTGGAAGCTTTGGTATCGTTGTTGAACAACCTTTTGGTTTTCTCCTCAATTTGGGGTTTCCACATAAATGGTGTTTTCTCTAATTATTTTTGCTTTAATTTATTTGTGTTGGTGCTACAATTTACGGATTGTGTTGAGCTTTGTCGGCCATTTTGGTTATTTAGAGAAAGGATTTATTCTGCTTCCGCTTGTTTTGCGTGTGCTTCCCCAACACTTTGTTGTGAGTTACGGCTCATCTTCATTGTCGATCTGACTCTCTTCATTGTAGAGGCAGAACCAGATTGGTGTTGCTTTGTTCAACTACGCATTCTGTTATTTCTGCTGTGCTAATGCTAATAATGAGGTAATCTCTCATCACCCCGTGGCTTATCTTCTTAAGGTTCCTGGTTATGACCGTTTTTATCTTATGTGCATACAGTTCCTTATATGAACAATAGTTAGTGTGTTGTTATTTGTTAGTTTGATGCTTTTTCTAATGCTCTTTTATTTCCACACTATTGCTTAAATGGTTGCTTATCGTTCTATTTACACTACTCGTCTTGAAATGTACTCCGTATATTTATTTATTCTGCCAAAAATAAATAAATTTTGGGTGTGTTTTGTTTGGGTGGGTTAAAATTTAAATATTTGAAGCTCTAGGGCACTGCAGAATCTTATACTCCGTACAATATTATGTTAAATATAACTAAGAACATGTTTTTGCTTAAAACAGATGATACTACCGTTGCTAATGACACAATTATCAGAATAATTAGAACCGTAATGTACGTTGGTGGTTAAGTTTACAACTACAAATATAGAATAATTAGAAGAGACAACAATAAAAGAGTGGTTGCAATGGGAGGAGGGGATGGCAGATTGCCGCCACCGAACGGGACTTGGAATGGGTTGTCCTCCTGATTGCCACCGGAGGGACTTGCGTTGTTGTTGTTGCTGCTGTTTCCAACAGTGGTTGTCCCGCCAACGTAGGCTACCGGCGTGCTGTTCTCCGTGTGGAAAAAAAATAAATAGTTTAGGACTCAGAGTGTCCCTATAAATAATGTCCAATAAAATACAGTACGAGTTATTGAGTAGAATTTACAACGAACCTGATGGGGCCTAGAGGGAGGACGCCGGAGTGCATGGTGAGGTTCTCAATGAAAAGGACGGAATGGGAATCGAGGCTGGAGGCCTTGGCGTACTCGTTGCTGAGATCGTCCCCGGAGGGTACGAAGAATGCCCCGTTTACCAACATGTCCCCTTCCGTTCTCCAGTCCCACCTGATCCACTCTAAATCCGGCGTGTGCACCCGCTTTGTCACCTTCATCGATCACCACGTCCATAAATCTCAACAATAGTGGAATTGATTTATAAAATGATCAAATTTGTTTAGGACAGTAGTACCTGTTTGGATTCATTGTCATCTGGTGCGATATAACGATTGCCCTGACTGTTGATGGTAGGGCTGGCACTGCCTCCGATGGCATACATTTGCCATTCCGTGTAGTCATTGTTCACCACGTGCACATATCCTCTCCTGCACCTCGGCATTCTTTGCACACACCCTACCCCAAAGTGATTGAACGCCACCGTCACCTTCATTGCCAACATTCATTAAACAAAGTGAAACGTTACGAAGCCAAGGAGCAAAGTTGTCAAACGAAGCAAAAAAGGCTAACCTGCATTCCCACGTCGGCCAGGAACGTATCTACGTGGCCAAGGAGCATAACCTTGTCGTGGTGGGAAAAGTGGCTATTGGAGATTGTGACCGCGGTGGACGCCCTAGTGACGTCAATCAAACCGTCCGTACAACTCGACAAGGTGCAGTGGTCGATCCAGATGTTCCTCGAGCTTCGTACGGTTATCCCGTCGCCGTCCGATTGGCCTCTATACTCAGTGTGTGTTGGGCCTGTGCGTATCATAGTGTTCCCCGAGGGCTTGCAGTTGGTGATTTGGATGTTGTGAATAATCACATTGGTGATGTTCACTAGGGTCAAGCACCCGTTTCCGGTGATGAGCACGTTGGCGCCGCGGCCGTCAACAGTCTTGTAGCTGTTGAAGATCAGCTCGTGTTTCAACGTGATCGTCATGTCCGCTCCGAAGACGATCCACAACGGCTCCGTTTGGATCACCGCGTACCGGAGAGTCCCCGGTTGCGGGTTCACGACGTCTAGGTCCGACGGGTCGGAGATTGTGTAGATGGGCCCGCCTTTTCCGCCCATTGCTCCGTGACCGAACCCGATGCCGCAGTCCGCCAGGTGCTGGCGGTTGTTTACCCAGCCAGGATCGCACCGCCAACAGTCGTCTATCGGGTTTCCGGTGAGGCATTGGTCGTTCTCCGCGGGCAGCAGTCTTCTCCTTGACACCGATTCTTTCACTCTCCTGTTCATATTGGACAACACAATAGCTCTTTGTCAAAATTATATTCTTACCCGTTACACGAAAAATGATTTGTTTCAAAATATGAATACTAAAAACTTGGTAGAATAAATGTCTGATTGGAAATTTCATGTTTCCTTATTTATATACCTTTAATCATCTATGACAATAAAATATTGTGAAATTTGCACTGAATAGGACTAAAACATTTAAATATATTAACATAAAAAATGGTTCCAGCCAAACATCATAAACTAAAATGTGAGGCTTATTTATTAAGGACGGGGGGGGGTTAACACTAAACATAAATCAACATGGATCAGCGTGTTCATTGCCTTTTCACTATTCATTGGCGCGATGCATTTGGGCGGGAACACTATGCATAAAACGTCCTACTTTTGTAGATATAGATATACGATCGCGTGAAATCCAGTTGGATTTGACGAATTCGATAGTTCTTTCTAAAACGAAGATCTCAAAAACTAGGAAATGAATTGGGCGAAAATAGCATTGCAGCAGAAACAGATGAAGAAAAAAACAGAGCTCGACTCGGATTTGTTAAAGCTCGATCAGAAGAATGTCCTTTTTTTACCTATGAACTTCTCGAGCGACCAATTCTGGGTAGGGGTGTTGATGCGGGATGGTTAGGTTGAAGCTTGCATTGATAAGGGACGACGAAGAAGAAGAAGACAGAGAAGAGAAACAGAGCAAGAAAATGCAGAAGCTTGGAGGAGGAAGGATCATCATCATCATGGGAAGAGGGGCTCAAAACTTGATCATCATCTAAGGTATTTAATTTTGCCATAACTTCTTTGCTTGGGTAAAGGTAAAATTCCTAATGGAAGTAACAGCCCTAGCTAAGATAAGATTTCTTTGTGAAGCTGCAAAAATATAATGTTCATATAAAAATGATGAGATTGAAACGGAAAAAAAAAGAATTTTATTACTCCCTTCGTCCCAATTTATTTGTGTTCGCATTTCTCCTTCTTTTTTTGCTCGTCCAGAATTACATGTCTACTTAACTTATTTGGTGAACGAATTATCGAGAATTCCCGAAAATACCCCTAAGGATATGCACAGATACAAGTATTCGGGGACGGAGGAAGTAATGCTTATTTGACTTACGTAAAAGAAAGTATATTCCGATTTGCATACGGTATAATTTGTAATTTAGGTAGTATGTTTGAAGAAGAAAAGAAGTTATAGAATTACCTCCCTCCCTAATTATTCTGCATTAATCCACTCTTCTTTCTTAAAACCTCCTCTCTAATTATTCGATATATATTAATCCACACTTCTTTCTTAAATTAATGTGAATGCGAAACAAGAAAAGTGAATACATGGAGTGCCGGCTTATCCTATCCATGAATATTATCAGCCGCCATCTTCTTATATTATTATATGCAATAATGACCGGTGGGCGTTGCAGAGTTAGTAAGGTCAGTGTGTTTAATTAGGGGCAATATTCGAGTTTGATTTCTGGAAATTGCGTTGGGCAGCGATTATACTACGTATAGGGCATCTGCATGGGTGAGGTGCAAGCTCTATCGTTTGTCAACAATGTGTGATTAAAGTTCGATTTACCTACTTTCTGGCGATCGTCCGGCCGGTTCTGAGAGGCCTTCAGAGAAGGGATTCATCCCTTTTTTATTATTATATGCAATAATGAGGAAAATATATAGAGAAGAATTAGTTTTTTAATTGCATACAAGTTCTCTGCATTAAGCACACGTGCAGATTTCAAGGATACTAACCTATATTCAAAGTTAGAACCTTTCTCCTAGATTAAGGGGTTTTAGGTATTTGTGGATATCATCAATTCTTTTTACAAAAATTCATGGCTAGCTCCTATGAAACTTTAGAAAGAATGATCTACGTGCTAGTATTTTTTCAATCCAACGGCGGTTTTGTATAAAAGAAAATATCCAAGTAAGATATCAATGTTTTCAAAGTGTTGTAACACATTAGGTGTGGTCATTTTAGCCTTTCTATTTTTTTTATATAGACATTAGCTACGTTCTCTTTGTCTGAACTTATTGAATTTGATCGGGACTATATGGACATGATGTGATCTGATTTGATATGATTGTAGTGTAATTTAAAGTTGTCACTGATATGATATCATTTGTGCTGATTTGAACTAATTTGATTCTGATATGTATAAGTAACGAGTTTGAAAAAAACAAGTTGAAGAGAACGAGGTCATTGAAATTGTCTTTTGTCGTTCAAAGTGTTTTTATTCATGAACAATGTCTTTTATCGTACATTGTCATTTTGATCTCAATGTCCTCAATCATCTCCAAAAATGGCCTCTACAGGATACACATTGTCCATCCAAATCTTTTTATTCAAGAACAATGTTTTTAGCCTTTAATGTCTGAAGAAAAGTAGATCATAAAAAAATGAGGAAACTTGTTTTGAAAATAATTTGACCATGTATGAGCGCGGTCTTTGACATCATCACGAGACAAGAGTGGCAGCGATGGTTAGCGACAGCATGATTGTGAGAAGTAGAGTGATAAGAAAAAAGAAAAATAAAAGAAATGGAAGAAGTGGTGCATCCTTCGGGAATTAGCGTTTGGGATTGACGTTTTCGATTAGCGATAGCGTTTTAGATAAAATTTTGAGGGTATAGATTAAATCTGAAAATGCTAAAGCTAAAGGCTATCGTTGAATAACATTTTCAAAAGCGCTAATGTTAACCTCTAACGTTGATGTCAAACGGGACCATAGTGATTAGCTTTAGGTTTAATATTTAATAATTATGTATAAGGACATTGCATTAAATTAGTATTATATTTTAATAATTACTTAACTAAATAAGTTCTGTATATTGAGTTAAAACTAAGAAGTCCTAGGTAGGAATTCAAAATTTACATGTTTTTGCTTGTCGATCATCGAAACAAAAATTGTACAAAATGTCGCAATTATGTTCTACATCATCAATCAATGAAAGTAGTCAACATATTCCACTTCTGTAAAACGAAGAATAATGAAAAAATACAACCCCCCAAAAAATACCTCTAATCACATACTCTTTGAATAAATTGAGTAAAAATTTCGTGATTCCAATAATAATCGTTCCATTATGTACAAAAAGTTGGGTTCCTTTCATGCTAAAATTTCCTCTCTTTTTTTCCTGTCCACTTTTTTCCTATTTACAACTACAAATATAAAATAATAAGAAGAGACAACAAGAAAAGTGTGGCTGTGGTAGGAAGAGGGGATGGCGGAGCGCCGCCACCAAACGTGAAGCCGAACGGGAAGTCATCGCGACGGCCTCCGGTGGGACTTGCGTTGCCGTTTCTGTTTGCGTCGGTGGTTGTCCCGCCACCGTAGGCTTGCGGCGTTCTACTCTCCCTGTGGAATATAATAATGTCAAATAATATATAACTTATTACTCTGTATTAATTAATTATTGTAATTGAATACTCCGATACAAATAACGTATAAATAAATAAAGATTCCACAAGCATGTGCATACATAAATCTTTCAAGAGTTTTACCAAACATAGTGCAAGACAAAAGGCATCAAATAAAAGATTCCACAAACATGTTCTATGAACTGCTTCATCAACCTAAGATCCACTATTTCCAAATTATTACTACGTAAATTTAAAAAGATATAAAAAATAAATGTGTATTTTTAAAAATATTAATTACTTAAAACTGTAAAAACTAGACAAATATCGAAGGTTGTATATGAAAATGAGGTCCATATATAAGAATTTAATTATCTCTGTGTATTTGATATTTATTTATTTTTTTGCCCATTTTCTTTTTTTAGTGATGAACATGTGGATCACAAGATTTCTCTCTCATTCAAACAGATTCAAATTTTAATACGGAGTACTTTATTTAAACTATGTAAAAGTACTCCGTATATTACCGCTATATATTATCGATGTTATTAATCACATTAAAATTACAAGAAAGAAAGGAATGAGAGGAGCAAGAAGAAGAAACCTGGTGGGGATTGAGGGGATGACCCCAGAGTGTGCGGTGAGTTGGTCAATGAGAAGGGCAGAATGGGAATTGAGGCTCGAGGCCTTGGTGTACTCGTTGCTGAGATCGTCACCGGAGGGGACGAAGAATGCCCCGTTCACCAACATGTCCCCCTCCGTCCTCCAGTTCCACCCGCTCCAGTCTGTCTCCACCGTTTCCACCCGCTTTGTCACCTACATCACCAAAAAAACTCTTAAAACCTGCGAATGCACTTTTAATTTTTATTTAATTATAAATCACAGCCCCGTTCTGATTGACTAAAAAACTTTCAAATCTAGACAAATATTCAAAGACTGGGTAATATTTTTTTTAATTGGGAGTTCTTTTTTAGAACAAAACTCAATTTAGAAATACAATATATGGAGTAATTTTTAATAATTTTGTAATTGGATGGAGACATGGAGTTAATTAGTTGGTTGCACTGAATTATTTTAAAATGTATTTCTTCACACTTAGATTGCATAATATTCGTAGGTATAATATCATTTTGGGATTCCCATTAATTAATTAATAATGTGCATTTTGACCCTTCCAAGTAATGACAAGAATATAAGATTGCATGTCGCCATGTCCCACATTACGTTAATGAGCCAACACCGTTGAAAATTGCTACCTAGATATTACTCCCCTCATGTATTATAACTTTATAAGCAAATTATTCTTTGATTCCACGCTAATTTTAAAGATCTTAATATATATGTAAATAATTATGAAATTGAGCTTTTTGCAAAAAAAAAAATCCTTATGCTAGTCAATGAAAAAGAGCTTTATGTTAGCTTACGAAAAAATCTATGAAAAATTGCATTTCACATATAGATCTTTGAATTACAGAAGCACAATTCTTTATTATGTACTAAATGAAGATTGATGGGGAACTAATGGAAGCATTAGTCACGAATCATATATATACGGCCTGTTTGGGAATATCGTTAGAGATTAGCGTTAGCGTTTTGGATAAAATTTTAACGCTGCAGATTACTCTGAAAATGCTAAAGCTAAATGTTGCCCGTAGATAGCCTTTTCAAAATGCTAACTTATTTCCAAACAGGCTCATAGTCAACAACTAATCAACACCTAATCCTAATAGTGGATTGATTGTCCTTTTTGATAAATGACCATACTAGTTTATTCTGACAATAATAACAAAAATACTACCGTTTATGAGCTAAAAGGTTGGTCTCAAGACACCTTGGGACACATAAATTTGATTCATACAAAATGAAGAGTTAGTACCTCTTTGGCGTTAGGGTCATTGGGCGCAATATAACGATTGCCCTGACTATTGATGGTTGGCCTCGCGCTACCTCCGATGGCATACATTTGCCATTCGGTATAGTCATTGTTCACCACATGTATGTACCCTCTTCTGCACCTCGGCATCCTCTGCACGCACCCTTCCCCGAAGTGGTTGAACGCTATCGTCACCTTCATTGTACGCATGCACCCTTTCATTAATTACAATCAATCCACAAAATTAAGACAATAATTTTGCGTTACACTTCTTCCTCCCCATAAAACACTTCACAATCTCCTTTTTCGAATGTTCAAAAAAAACACGCTCAATTCATTTCCTATTTTAATAAAAAAATCTACATAAAAACGAGATTTGCTAGGTATACACCTGGATTGATACATCAAAAGTATACCATTCGGGTCACAGACACACAGACACTACTTATGACCACATAAACAGTTGATGTATGTGTGTTTCGGTGATTTTCTTTTTGAAAGAAAAAAAGAGAGAAAGACTAACTTGCATTCCGGAGTCGGGGAGGTAGGTGTCGACGTGGCCAAGGAGCATAACCTCGTTGTGGTGGGAAAAATAGCTATTGGAGATTGTGATGGCGGTGGACCCCATTATGGCGTCGATCAGCCCGTCCGTACAGCTCGACAGAGCGCAGTGGTCGATCCAGATGTTCCTCGCCGTGAATATGGAGATTCCGTCGCCGTCCGATCTGCCTCTCCACCCCACGTGCGATGGGCTCGACCGCACCAGAGTGTTCCCCGACGGCTGGCAGTTGGAGATCTGGACGTTGTGGATGATGACGTTGGTGACGTACTGCAGCGTTATGCAGCCGTTTCCGGTGATGTGCACGTTGGCGCCGCGGCCGTCGACGGTCTTGTAGCTGTTGAAGATCAGCTCGTGTTTCAGCGTGATCGTCATGTCTCCGGCGAACACGATCCACAGCGGCTCCGTCTGGATCACGCCGTACCGGAGAGTCCCCTGCTTCGGGTTCGCGGCGTCCAGGTCCGACGAGTCGGTGACCGTGTAGATTACCCCGCCCTTCCCGCCCATCGCTCCCTGGCCGAATCCGATGCCGCAGTCCGCCAGCCGCTGGCGGTCGTTTTGCCAGTTCGGATCGCACCGCCAGCAGTCGTCGATCGGGTTTCCGGTGAGGCATTGCTCGTTCTCCGGCAACAGTCTTCGCCGCGACACCGATTCGTTCACTCTCCTGTTGAATTCGCACAGCACACCAACTGTTTGTCAAAATGCTCGACTGAAATTCATTGAATTTCACAAAATTCGGTTCTCAATTTCATGAAAAAATTAAACACAAATTCTCAACTCTCAGAAATCTAGCAGTGTAGAAATTCTCAAATATAGAACAATCCAGATTTGCTAAAGCCTGATTACAGAAATTCATGTTATCTTACCTATGAACTTCTTGAGCTACCAATTCTGGGTAGGGGTGTTGATGCGGGAGGCTGAGATTGAAGCTTGCATTGATTAGAGAAGAAGATGAAGATGATGAAGAAGATGATGATGATGATGAAGACAGAGAAGAGAAACAGAGCAAGAAAATGCAGAAGCTTGGAGGAGGAAGGATCATCATCATCATGGGAAGAGGGGCTCAAAACTTGATCATCATCTAAGGTATTTAATTTTGCTGTAATTTCTTTGCTTGTGGACAAGTAAAATTCCCAATGGAAGTAAGAACCCTAGCTAAGATAAGATGTCTTCTTGCCCTGGAATGCACTCTTTCTGAACCTGCAGCAAAATTATATGTTCATATAAAATTGATGAACTTGAATATAAAAAAGCATTCTATTGCCATGTCTGAATTCAGTTTTTTCACACTTTTTGAATTGCCTAGAATTAATTGTCATCTTCTTCATTTAATAACCAAGTGGTCAAAATTACCCAAAGGCCCCTAATGAGATTGCAGGCTACTATAGAGGACAAACCAATTACAATGACTTTTTTGTCAATCCCCATCTTTTTCAAGTTTGAGAGGTCAGGATAAGTGAACAACTAAATCTGAATGGTGGGAATATAAAAGTAGGTCCCGTTCTTTTCAATTAGAAAAATTAACTTTTAACTTTTTCCAACTCCTAATTTTTTATAAATTTTTCCAGTTTCTTCCAACAACGACTGAAAAAATATATTTATATGATGAATATAAAATAATATTATATATCCAGATTTGTAACATACTAGCTCAAACACAAAAAATGATGAGTTCTTTTTTATCCAAAATTAGAATTTTCCTAAAAATGTATTTGGGTAGTCGTTTAATTGAGTGATTTTTTAACACTTAAATTATTCTAACATTTTCCAACTCCTTCCACTCTTTCGAACTTCTTCCAGTTTCTACAAGTTTCTTCCAATTTTTTCAGTTTATTCCCACATCCGACCCTGAAATTCCAACCCAAAAACAGAGAGTTGTAGTATATGTAGCCTATAATTCCCAGTATGTTTGAGCCTTTAGTTTTTACATAGTATTAGAATCCATATATTCTTCTTTCTCAAAACCTTCCCCCCTTAATTACTCTATTAATTAATCCACTCTTCTTTCTTTCAAAACCTTCCCCTCTTATTATTCTGTATTAATCAATTCTTCTCTCTTAAATAAAAATGTGAATGCCAAACAAGAAAAGTGAATTCCTGCAGACCTTTCCCATGGAGTGCGGGGCTTATCTTATCCATAGTTTTTTTAGCAGCCCCTCCCCTCTTGTTCCCCCGGCCTCTTTTTTTTTATTATTTGTACCCCTTAATTGGCTTTATGGGATTAACAAAAAATTAAAAAGTGTGTTAGTGGGATTATTTAGACAAAAGAGAAAAATATTACAGGCCATATACGCTGTAATTTTTTCTTTGTCAAAAAAGAAATGAAGGAAATTTAAAGCTTATTTTTTCGACGAACGAATAATAAATGTGTTACTTTGTTACGGGGTTTAATCGAATGAGAAATTTACTTAAATGACACTAAAATATAATGACTTTTTCTAAATAGCACCACATGTGTTTTTTTTCCAATATAGCACTTTTAGTCATTATACATTAGTCATTATTCAAGTAAATGTTTGCCATCAAAAGTCATTATGGACATTATTAAGTGCTATTTAGGGAATAAAACAATTTAAGTGCTATTTAGAGAAATGACTTAAGTTTTAGTACTATTTTATGCAAAGATTTCTTAATCGAATAACAATGTTCAAATAATGACTTTTTGGCCATGTTTAGACATTTTTTATACGGGAATATAGAAAAATGAGGATTAAACAAAACCATTTACTTCTTTGTCCCCTCCCTAGCTCTCTTGAAATTCAAATAAAAAAAGGATATGATTAGTCCCATCTCCGACGACGCTCGCTCAGACCCGATCAAACAGTCACTGAGAGAAGGTAAATTGGACTTTGATCGCAGATTGATGGTGCATGCACCTGGTACTTGTAGAGACCCAATGCTTATCATAGTTGCCTTCCAGCATAATTGTCAGGAATCGAACTCAGATCTTAACCCCTTAGCACTTTTTGCCTTGTCAACTGCTTAACGCCACTAGCTCAAATGAAAAAATAAAAAGACATCAAAGAAGGGAGTATTCAAAAAAAAATAGAATTTAAATGGAAAGAATAAAACACAATGACAAAGAAGGGTAAAAGAATTTCTCCCTCCGTGCGTTTTGGGACTAAAGGTGTGTTTGGGTGCGTAGGGATTAAAAAAAAAAGATTCTTTGCTGGAAAGGAAGGAGAAAAGTTTTGGGGTTCCAGCAAAGATTAAAAGGCATTGCCTGTGGGAATGAAGTTGGGTTCTGATGCCTTTTAATTAATTTTGGGGTTAAAAGATTTGACGACGTGGATTTCACTTTTTTGTCAATGGATGAAAAGGTTGTTGTGGGGGCTAAACGGTCTTTACAGTTAAATTGGAAAAACCAAACTAACCCAATCTTAGCATTGGCACAAAAAAATGGAATCTTTTTGTGCCAATATCATGTCATCATATCAAAGATTGCTTGCCTTTTCTTTTTTCACTGCTATAGATAAACAAACCAGTCATAATATTTGTGCTGTCATTAATAAGAACAATATATTAAGCATTACGCTTCAAGATTAATTAACTTTAAAACGTTCTAATCAAAAAGTGTACGTGTGACTGTGTACGATAGGATCATTCAACTAATTAACCAATATATTAAGCTTCCCATATATATCATCCAACTTTGTACGTGCTTGCTTTTCATGAACTCTGATGAATGACAGCCACACGTGCATTTTTTAAAAAAATTTTCTTTAATATTTTTCAGAGTGATTTAGGATAAATTTTAGTCATCAATTATATACGAGTATAAAAATACATTACACATCAATGCAATAAAACAAATTGTTGAAATATTTATACAAGTTAAAGATAATGAAATTATTTTTGTAATAATATATGGAGTATAGTAATTTTTTTAATTGATGATTAAATTTTATCTAATTTACTCGAAAAAAATTCAAATACACAAATCCTTTGGGGGCGAAGCTAGTATATACCTTCTTTGACGGGGTGGAGGATTTTTCCATCATTGACCACATGTCACTAGTAGATCGAACATACTTAGCTTCTTGCGTGCGTCCCGTAAAACATTTCATGTTTTAACTAGTAGGAGGGGAAGCTGTAGAAGTTAGACCAAATTGAAACGATAACAATTAAAACGAGCATGACTCAGAATAGGTCAAAATGAGTATGGCTTAGAGTAAGTCTTAAATTTTTAAAATTAGTTCAAATTTCTAATATAATATGTATATCAAAAAAAAGAAAAAGAAATGGAAGTACAATATATATAAAGCATGACACGTACGTGCATGCATGATATCCGAGTCATCAGACATACAAACATGCATGGGATCGAGTCAGGTAGTTGGCAAATGTGCAAAATAAAGAAATGAAAAGGCAGAAAGAAATATATTGCCACGTTATAGTGACGAAAGTGGAAAAAGACTACTAAACTTATAACGTGCTTATATATAAAAAAAATTTAAAAAAATGTGGAATTAAAAAAACACATGCTACCCTCCTTCAATTCAGTCTAGATTTATCTTGCAGAAAGGTATTAAAAAATTATTTTATTGTAATAAAATGCAATGCAAATTGAATATAAATGATTAATAAAATTAACACAATGCAGATTTAAAATTTTATTGTGTTTTGCATGCAGTGAAGATCATTATAGCACGAAAGGAGCTAGTACTTAGGTAGTTATTTCACTATGCACTGCATAATGAAGAGGAACTTTTATGTATTTAGATTTGACCATTAATTTTAATATTATAAACATATTATTCAACGATAAATTTTAATACTCGGTATAAATTTTTTTAAAAAAAATAAGAGCCCGTTTGGTGAGTTTTGAAGATATGATAAGATATGAGTTCGGAATTTTAGGAAAAATGATATGGGTTTCAAAATTAGAAAAGCAAGTTTTTATAGAAAACAAATATGAAATCAGATTACAGCCACAATTGTTTCATAAGCAATTAAGAAATCAAATTTAAGTCCGGGATAATATTTTGTTACAAACGTATTATATTAGCTAAATAAAATGTGCTCCATAATTTATTTAAAATGTCGAATTAAAATGTTTTAATTCTTGTTACTGGAATTTTTTAAAGTACAATTTATTCTAGTCTAAACAATTTATTAATTTTATTTTACAGAGTATTAAAATCAAATTTATTTTAATTTTTTTTTATTGAATGTTGTTAATAAACATAGATTGACATAAAACTCAATACACAAGAAATAAATATTTCTTTTGCATAAAAAAAAATGCGTGAATTAAAAATTGTTTTAACAACAATTTTAAAAATATAAAAGAAAATAAAATTCGAATAAATTGGAACCATTAAAAACACTCTCATTTGCTAACCTGAAGATAATGCTGATATGATTGAATGCTCCCTAGTGAAATCGGCCAAATGAAGCTGATATGGAGTCTCTCCACTTGCAGATATTTCATCTCTTCTAATTTCATTTCTGAATCCATTTTTTTCTTCACCAAACATCTTTTATTAAAATTTGATATCTTAAATATCAAAATTCATATCTTTTTTACTCACGAAACGGGCCTAAGTTGGGCTGTTAAATTTATCATAAGTATTACGGAGTAGTGATATAATTGTGATGCCAAACGACGCCATGATGAGTTACCGAAGAGTATGTACCTTATGCAAAGTATAAGTATCTTACAATGCACTCCTATTATATTCTATTGACCATTTGAGCTATACCTCTGGTATTATATTTTCACTATAACATAGGCAATTTGCTTATGTTTTTATACAAAAAAAAGTTTAATAAAATACTCTTAATGAAAATGGATGGAGTATATTAATCTCCATTTGGCATCAGCGTTAGAGGTTAACGTTATCGTTTTGAAAAGGCTATCCGACGCTAGTCTTTGGCGTTAGCGTTTTCAGAATTAATCTACACAGTTAAAATTTTATCCAAAACGCTAAAACTAATAATCGAAAACGCTGATCCCAAACAAGGTCTAAATGAAGTGGGTGAGGTGTAATAAATAAAGTTGATATGTTTGGGTATTTTAAATGTTTAAAAAGGTAACGGAAAGATCTTTACCAAAAAATAAAAAGAACATTGGAAAAAACCAATGGAGATGGAAGAAGTAATGAGAAAAAAAATCACCAAAAATAAGAATAAAAAAATATGGAAAGTATCTAAATAGGAGTTCGCACTGTAATTCACTGTATATGTAGTTATGGGCATTTCACAATAATTTTTGGTACTCCGCAATATATATGGTCATATTGACACTGTATACATATTTGAACTTCTATTTTAGGAATAAAAACATGAAACTCATATTTTGATATATTCTTTATGTTTTTATTTCTACTTTAATTTTTTTTCCTACTAAAAATTCGTGAAACTTTCTTGTAAAAAATGTAATATAGGTCCTCTTTCTTTTTTGAAATGTAATATGGTCCAACCGTCCAATTTCTGTTTTAAAATAAAGCTACTCGTAAAAGAATGAATACATGAGAACATGTGACATGTGTGATATGAAGTTGGTTGGGCTTTTCAGTTGCTTCGTATGTGGAATTTTAGGGGGTATTGAATTTGGGCTTGGGCTAGCAGGCTTGTATAGTCGTATTAATCTTTTCATTCTATTTAATTATACTTGTTCTTATTATATAGAAGGATGTGTAAATTTTTATTTTTTAAAAAATCATTTATTTACAAGAGTTTTTATTTCATGGTCCTAAAATCCACATGTAAAATATGAATCTTTTAACACTTTTATGGTCAGACAAGTAGATTTTTTCTTTTTTTGTAAAAGACTCAATTCTTTTATGATATTAGTGCACTAAGGTTTATTACACGACATAGATCTTAGAACCATAGAAGAATGTTTCTATTTACAAACTGGTACAAAGATAAAATATATCAATTATACCATTCAAATATACATTAAAAGCTCTAAATAAAAGGGGGGGAAATATTTTATTTTGTCAAATGATCAATGAAAATATACATACAAACATAATTCATCGAGAGACCATAATAGTAATTAGGAAAATTAATTTTGGGCGGATGATTGAAAGTGCGGAACCCGTCCCGTACCATTTTGAAAAGGGTTTGGTTCAGTTCGAGATATAATTTTTACTACAACCATTTAAAACTCGTTTTTCGGTTTGGTACAATGTCAGTTTGGTTCGAAACAATGCTAGATCGGCATTTTTGCACAAGTACTCCTGGTTCCTGACGTGGGCAAAAATAAAATGGCTTGTCAGGTTTTTCCAAATAAATTCAAATCTCATGCTAGATGATATGTAATCATCTTTTTATAATTTTTTTATATTTTTTACTTATTGTTGTTGTTTTTATTACTTTGTACAAAGTGTAATTCTTTATTACTATTATTTTTATTTCTTACATTTTATTATATATTTTTATAATATTATTTATTATTTTATTAAGGTAGTTATTACGATAATTAATTATAGCATTATAATTTTGTTATGCGTATTATTATAATATTAATTTATATTATAAATAAAATGGTTTATATAATTTAATTTAATAAGATCATGGCTCATTGTTTTTTCGTCTGGTTTGAAATCTCTACGAGACGTGCCTCACGCTCTTATTCACATAGAATATAACGCACACAGAGTTGTGCACTATGTGATAATTTATCTGACAATTTCAAGAACCAAATAGCTCTGATGCCCCCTCTGGTTTGAAATATTGACACTAATACCCCCTTTGTTTTTAAAACTTATTTCGAAAGTTCTTGTGGTTTCAAAACATTACACCCACACCCCCTCTGATCATTTTCCGGCCATTTTCCGGCAAAGAGGGGGCATAGGCGTATAATTTCTAAACCATAGGGGGCATTCCTGCTCATTTCTTATTTTTGTTTATTATTTGTGTTTTCCCCTTTTTTTTAATATTTTCTCTCCTTTTCCTTTCTTAGAATTCTTTTTAAAATCTATTTTCAATTTTTTATAATGCTTTAAGAATTTTAAAATTCTTTGTGTTTGAAATAAAAATAAAAATAAAAATAAAAATAAAAATAAAAAAATTAACATATATTACATATATCTCAAATTAAAAAATTTCACTTTTTGTTACTTAGAATAATTTTTTGGAAAGTTAAAAACCCAGATTTCCAGAATAAAAAAATTAAAATATGGAAAATGAAATGAAAAAATTAAAATACGCAAAAAAAGTCTTATACAAAAAAAATTTGGACACGCCTGAAAAAGTCCTTAGAATTGAGATGTCCAAAAAGATTATCATTTTTATTTTTGTATTATTTTGTTTCTTATTTTATTTCTCATTTTTTTTTGAAGTTCTCAAAAAAATTGTTAATTTGAGACTACATGGGTGTGCACCGGTCCAAAACCAAACTGGAGCGGACATGAATCAATTTGGACCGAACCGGAGCGGACAAAAATTGTTAATTTAAAACTTTTATTAATAAATGAAACAAAGAAAAGAGAAAAATGAAAAAAACAAAAAATAAGTGAGAAATAAAAATCAGCACGGATACCCCCTATGGTTTAAAAATATGCACCAATGCCCTCCTTTTTCACCGGAAAAATGGCCGGAAAATGATTAGAGGGGGCACGGGTGTAGCATTTTGAAACCACAGAGATTTTAGAAATAAGTTTTGAAAATAAAGAGGGTATTGGTGCCTGTTTTGCAAACCACGAGGGGTATTGGCGCTATTTGGCCCAATTTCAAGTGTCGAATGCAATGCTGTAACACTCACGCAAACACACACAAAGCAGAAATAGTAAAAAGACACACACAGATTTGTTTACGCAGTTTGGAGTTGAATCTCCAACGTGTGCGAGGCCCACGTCCGTGTAACAGCCCTCCACTAGATCATGGTATGTTTTACATAGATCAAGCACAATAGAACCCTCTAAAGTTTTGACGAGGAAAATCTTACGTAAGACCTCAGGTATCAAACTCTGTTTCCACCTGTCACCATTGCACGTTACACCCTCACTCAATCTCTTCCAAGGACGTGAATTCAACCTTCTCTCCCGGGCATCACAATACTCAACTCTTGGGCTCGCGTGTCAATGTCTGGTCGTGAATCATCCACGTGGGAAACAAGGATCTGAAATATGACTTCCCGACACTACGTTCAACCTCACGCTAAGATGAAGAATGTTGCGTGATCTCTAATCTTGCACCTCACTCTTTTCTAGATCTCTCGTATTTGACACTGTTTTTTCGCGATCCACCATAGCTCCTTTGTGGGATATTTATACATAAATCCGCCTCTGAAGTTTGTAGCCCTAGTATACAGCACAAAGGAGTCTAGACGCTTCCTCCCACTGGGAGTGTCCCAGATCCGTAAACTACGAAGTTTGAGATCAACTTTTTTATTCTCTAAATAGTAATTAATAATATCTAGTGAGAGAATAATATCCAGTGATAGAAATATCACTTTTTGTGGCCTAAATACGAGTTCACAGACTCAACCGTCACGCCCACTACCAACGGAGCTCCGCTCGCCGGTGTCGACCATTAATGACCAGTGATCCACCATCACTTTGCCACTAATCACATCCTATAATACTATCACAAATTCACAATGTCAAGATTCACATTGCCATGGGTCATGATTAAAACAATGACACTTCTGTTTTGGTATTTTTTTTTTATGATATTTTCATCATGGTTCATTTCCTCTCTTACAAAAATTGGAATAGAAATGAATAAAGTTATGCATGGACCTACATTGAGTCCATGTGTAAAAAATGGAGGTGCCCTTAGCCAGTTGTTGTCACTAAACCGCGTTTGGGGATACTATTAAAATTACTTATTCTATTACAACAAGGTAGTGACATCCCATCTAGCCCCCAAATTTTAGTCTCACAGTTCACATTTTCATGGGAGTTCACCATTCTCCTCTCCACACCACAAATATTGTTCCTTTTAAATTTCAACACTATTATAAGAAATAAAGATGTGCACTCCACTTAACTAAACTGCCCTTCTCCTTGCCCATTAAAGTTCTTTTTTTGTCAATATAATAAATATCACCCTCGTGGTCCATAAATAAGTTCAATTTAAAATTTCACTTTGTTAGAGAAATAACTGAGTGATTCACATTATTCATCTATGTTCTGCATAAAAATTGAACATGCAATTTCGGCGTTCTTAATAACCGTGTTGATTCCAATGTGAAATCTGATTTGGGATTCATTAAGTTTTTTTTTTCTATTAAAAGGGAAATAAAGAAACCCCCATTAAGTCTTAAACCCACCTTATAAGTAGTAAGAATACCCTAACAAGTCATACCTAGCCACCTAATAATTAAATCTCTCTTTTACCTTGTTTGTGTTCTTCCAATCAAATTACACACACACACACACACACACCAAAATAAAATAAAAGGAAAAGAAATGGAAGACCAATGCATACCTTTTGCCTTGCCTTTCTTCTTCCAAGAAGAGGTAAATTCAACTCATTTCTTTTTCATTTGTGCTGTTTTTGTTTTCTTTCATCTGGAGATGCTTCATCAAAGAGTAATCATGATGATGTGTTGGCAGGGAATTGAGGAGCTTAAGCAGTCTCTGTTCTACACAACAATGGAGCTGGAGAACACCATTGTTTGTGCCCATGATGAGATTTCCAAGAAGGATCAAGAAATCTTGCACCTCAAGAATCTCCTTGCAGAAATTGTCAAGGAAAGAGATGAATTTGTAGAGAAATTGAGGATTTTGGGCCTCGAGAAAGCCCTTCTCCATCAACAGGTAAACAGGCATTTTCACAAACACCTGGTGGGCGTTGCAGATGCCAACAGCAACAGTGAAGATCAGAGAGCACTTTCTTCCTCCGATTCCGACGACGTGGTTTTCCAGCCTCCGCCGCCGTCCGTCGCTGCGGATGAGGTGTTGCCCAAAATGCCCATGCCGGAAAATGGGAAATTCTTGAAAGCGGTGGTGGAAGCTGGGCCGCTACTCCAAACACTTCTTCTGGCCGGACCACTGCCTGATTGGCAACGCCCGCCGCCTCAGCTCGACATCCCGCCGGTGACAATGTCCCCTGCCGTCTCCACACCGCCGCATCGGATCCACCAGGAATCCGTTCTCGGCGCCGGCGAAGCCAAGAAGAGGGCGGCAAATGGTGCTCGTGACACCTCTTCATCCCCCTCAAAGTACCAAAGAGTATTTCCATCCACCGCCATTATCTCTACTAGTTAGTGCTTGGCCATGAACTTATTATCTCTAATTACATACTCTAATTTAGGAGTAATTATTGTTATTTCCTATTATTATAAATTTTTGAAGGTATTATTATTAATACTATTATTATTTTTATTATAATTTCTATTATTATTATCATTACTCCTTTGTCCAGTAATAATGTTTCACATTTCTTATTTGTCTCTCTAAAAAACCACTTTCCACTTTAAAAAAATTGTGACTTTTATTGTTTTTTATTACAACATTTTCAAAAGAATTTTCCTTTGGATAGGAATAAAAAAAATATGAAAATATCATAATATGGGTCCTAAATCTTTTAATAACAAAATAAGAATAGCAGTGCGATGTAAGAGTACGTGTTAAAAAAAGTGATGAAAGTGTAATATATCGGTGTGAGTACTCAATCGTCGGCGATCCGCAGTGGCAGTCTGGTGGCTGGCGACGACGATGGCATTGTGGCAGTGATAGTGTGGCATTTACAATATGACAATATGGTGAGTGTGATAATGTAACAATGACAGTTTAGACTCTTATTTTAGTCTTACAAAATTTATAACTTCTATTTTGATATTTTCATTATTTTTTACTTTAATATAGAGAATTCTTCCCACTTTCAACTGTGAAATATTATTGTGGGGCGAAGAAATATTACGGAGTATTACTTAGAATGTAACATAATTAGAGTATACTCTGTATATGTTAATTTGAACTAGAACAAAGTTTCTAAATTTGTAATTAGAGGCGGGTATTAGATCGTGCTATTAGGTTGTGCTTGAAGTGCACTAAGATTGTATCACACTTTATACACAAGTATCTTATAGATATACACAAATCAAAAATATTTGGATACAAAGACACTTAGGTTCCGTTTGATATACGAAATTGATGGAATTGAATTGAAATTGAAATTCTATGGGATTCAATTCCAAAGAATTAAATTCTGTCAATTCCAATTCATTTTTTGCACTATCAATTCCAAATCTACATAATTTTTGTGCTTTTAAACACCAGAATTAGAATTGAAGCCATCAATTCCAATTCCATAATTTGAATTTCGTGTACCAAACGGGGCCATTCTCTGTGTCCGTTTCTATTATAATTTTGTTTAAAAAGTGGGATACAATATTAAGAGGGTATATCACTATATCCTATTAAAATTTTGAAAGATTTTGATAGATTTTTAAAACATTATGGATTATATGAAATATCTGTATCATTTTAATTCTAAATAGAGTTAGATAGATTTTAATATATTTTATAAGTAGAATGTTAAAAGATCCTATCAAATTGTTTAAAATACATAGATTATGTCGAATTCATAAGCTTTTCTCAAATCTACAGAATCTAGATTTTTTCATAAGTTTATAAAATATAAATTGTTCTAGCATCAATAATTATTTATACATATTTACGATAACATATACGAAAAAAATAGAATAAAAAACTTGAAATCTAGAGAAAAAAGTAATTAGAATACACGGAATAAAAAAACTAGAATAAAAAGGGTTAAATATGTTTTTAATCCCTGTAAAATACTCCCTCCGTCCCATGAAACCTTTCTCCTTTCTTTTTTTATCCGTCCCACAAAACGCTTTTCATTTCTATTAAAAAGTAACTTTTACCCCTTACTTTTTCATACCCTAAATATCACATCATACCTTTTTACTAATAATCTATCCATCAAATCATACTTTTACCCATCACATCAAAGGACATTTTTGGAAATTCAATACCAAAATACACTCCCCTTAAATCTCTACTAAAAAGCAAAAGTCTCATGTTTCATGGGACGGAGGGAGTAATTGACTTTTGGTTTATTGTCCCAGTAAATTGTTTTTGTTAAGTCATTTGTACAAAAAATTTTAATTTGAAAATCATCCTTAAACATAATATACATTTCTAATTTGTTGAGATAGCATGACACATTCATTTCGTACTCAACATCTAAATTTTGCATTTCTAAATACCTCAAAAACAATTCTCATGTCATATGTCGACATGTCGTCTTCTTCATCGAATTATATCCCTAATTTCCAAATTTTATTATATTGTATTCTTAAAAAAATTGGAACTTGGAGATGTAATATGAATAAGGATTTAATTTCGGGCATGAGAATTGTATCGGGGTAGTACAAATACAAGACTAAAATATTTAGTACGAAATAAATGTACTATATCAACAAATTAGAAATGAAAGCGTTAATGTTTCACATTAGGACACTTTGGGCCCGTTTGGGAATAGCGTTAGAGTTTAACGTTAGCGTTTTAGATAAAATTTTAACGGTGTAGATTGTTTTGAAAACGCTAACGCTAAACGTTGTCCGTCAATAACCTTTTCAAAATGCTAACGCTAATAGCTAAAGCTAATCTCAAACCGACCTTTTATTTTCCTATCGTAAGAATACATATAAATGGGGTAAATTAAAGCATTAGCCGCACTTATAAGTAGAGGTGGAACTACATTATATATGGGGTATGGGTATAGTGCTCAAATCTCATCTTATTCCAAATAATAAGAATAAGTAATAAATAAAAAATAACAACTTGAAAAGAACAAACTCTTAGAGGTTATTTGGCAACTTCTGAATAGGTAAATATTGAACCAGTAAGAGGTTTGAACCATTAAGTACTGAACCAGTAAGAGGTCTGAACCCTTAAAAGCTAGTATATTACTTAACTATTCAGAGGCAAATGTTTGATCAATTCAGATAAGAGGTTTTAACCATTCAGACTCTGTATAATACTTAACCATTCAGAGGTAAATCTCTTAACCATTCAGACATCTGAACCATTAAGAGGCTGAACTGAACCATTAAGTGCTGAACCATTCAGACATTTGAACCATTAAAAGGCTGAAACAAACAGCCCCTTAATCTGGCCACGTGTAGTCAATCCTCATATATATACAATATGGGTTGCTTATTTTCAATAACCTAAGAGCATCTTCAATCATCTTACTTTGACTTGCTAAAAGGCATAATATAACAAGTCTACCTATTTTTTTCTTCTCCAATGAGTGTTTTTAATTTTAGCAAGCTTGCCAAAAAATGACTTTGGCTTGTCAAATATAACAAGCTCTTTAAATTATAGGAAGCCAAGAGTTATAGAATGGATTAGCAAGCCATGGTTGGAGAATGCAACAAAATATCACTTGCTAGGTCATTATTCACTTGTTAAAATATAAAAATAGCAAGCCAATATACTACTATACAAGGTTGGAGATGCTCTAATATATGCATTCTACCTATTAAGACTTATTAGTATTTCACATAGAAAATTGAAAAGAAAAATAATCGATATATATAAACTCTTGAATTGAATTAAGTAATTGATTAGATTTAATCTTTTAGAGTAAATTCTATAACTGGTCCTTTATAACAGGAGAGTTTCCCTATTTAGTCCTCTATTATCAAATATTACCCCAGTGGTCCTTCTTTTATGGGTATATTTCCACAAATAGTCCTTTTTTGATCTTCTATCATATTGGTGTTAATTTGAAGGCTAAAAGTGTAATTTTGCAATGATAATATATCTTTTTTGTCATATACAATTCCAAAGGGTGTTCCATTTCCATCGTTTGTGAATTAGAGTCGCTTTCTACTACAATCATAGTCTACAAATGTGGTCTTTCGTCAAAATTCTAGCCCACAATCATAGTCATTATTTTTGTGTTATCCGATTAACCAATATCAGAACACGTCACTAGACATAATGTTGATGTCAAATTATACTTTTAGCCTTTAAATTAATACCAACATGACAGAAGATCAAAAAAGGACCGTTTGTGGAAAGGCACCCTTAAAAAAAGACTACGGGGGTAGTATTTGATAATAAAGGACTAAATATGGAAATGCTCCAGTTATAAAGGATCAATTATGGAATTTACTCAATCTTTTAAAATGATTTAATCTAAGTGTTTTATGACTAAATTTTGAAATGGTATGGAGACCCGTTTACCCACCTCATTTATTAAGGTGATCATCTAAGTTCATTCCTAGCGCGGTCCATTAGTCTTTAGCTTAGTTGTCTCTATGAAAAACAACATGTGGCCCATATAACCCGATTATTCGTCTAAAAGTCCATACAGAGTCAGTCGTGATCCTTTAGGGGTTCTCACTTTTGATCTTTTCATTTCATGGGGATGGAAAGTCCAAATGCAAGTGGTCAACCAATTATATTCAAAATGGTACAATTGTCTACTTATTGAGGTTGATTGTTAAAGTATCCCACATCGGAAATCGAAGAGAAAAGTAATCGGTATATATAACTTCTTCAGTTGAACTAAGTAATTTATTGGATTTAATTTTTTAGAGTTAAATTCCATAATCACTCTTTTATAATATAGAGTTTTCCATATTTAGTCCTGAACTATTAGATATTAAGCTCATCGTCCTTCTTTTTGGGTACTATACCTTTCTATAAATAGTCTTTTTGACCTTTTGTCATGTTGGTGTTAATTTGAAAGAAAATACTCCGTGGTATAATTTGACATCAACCATATGTCTAGTAACATATTCTAATGTTGATTAGACAAACAACATAATAATAATGACTATGATTATGGACTAGAATGTCGAAAAAAATGTCAATAGACTATGATTATAGTAGAAAACGACTGTGATCCACAAACGACACATTAGAAGCGGCCTCTCGAATTGTGTATGATAATAAAGATATATGATCATTGTCAAATTACATTTTAGCTCTCAAATTAACACAAATAAAACAGATAATAAAAAAGGACTATTTGTTGAAAGGTACCCAAAAAAGAGGAACCACGAGCGTAATATTTGATAATAGAAGATCGACTAAATATGGAAAACTTCATATTATAAAGGGCAAATTATATAATTTACTTATTATTTAATATAGTTCAACACAAATATCTTATGACTCAATTGAGTAACCTTTTTTCCATCATAAATTCTATCAAGATTCACTTAATCTAGTGACTCAATTAGAGTTTGATCAATTGATTGCTTTTAATTAAGTCTTCCAATGTTGCTCCAATGTCCCAACTCTTCAAACCGACACTACCCAAAGTTCTTTTTTTTAACTTAAAGAAGTGTGAAACGTAGTTGTTTTTTTTGTCAATTGTTGTAGTCAAATGTTACAAAGACTCATTCTACTCCATTGTTATTAATACATAGAATAAGCATGTCAACCATGGATTCAATAAGCATGTCAACCTTGCTCCTTCAAAAGCTAGGTTTAATTTGGAGGACTCAAAGTTGAATATTGGAGAAAAGATGTTAATGCAAAGGTCTATTATTATTATTTGAGGGATTATATATAGTTCGTAGTGCTTAATTAGTATTCAAAATGAAAGGTGCATGCTTTGTAGTCTCAATCAACTTAAAGTGTGGTTTGGATTAAGTATAAACTTGAATTGAATTGAATTGAGGAAGCAATAACTCTTTTAGAGATTCCAAACGTTCATATCCTACTTTTCCTTCAAAGTGCACCTACCATGCATGCCCCTTGTCTGCCATTAAAATACCACCCCATTCATATCCATTTTTCCAACATCCATATACCTAAAGAGTCTAAACATTTTGGTCATTTGTATCTATATTTTTGTATTTATAGATATGCTGAGTATATTATAAACATGTTATATTTCAAGATTATATTTTAAAATAAATTTATTGATTTTAAATACGTAATATAATCAATCCCCTTTTTTTTGCAAATTCTACGCTGTCAAAATCTAAAGATGTTGATCAAGAATGTCAAGTGAAAATAAAATTTTCACACTGAGAGAATAGTTAAAATTAATAATCTACATCTGCTTATCATACTACATTTAGAATTAAGGCTAAAAAAATTTAATCTTATTAACTTTCAATGAGAAAATATGTTGGAGCATTCCCACCGTTGGGAAGTTTCCACATCGAAAAAATTGATTAAAAATGTCCACCATATAACTAAGAGGAGTTACTCCACTTATCATCTGATCTCTTTGATCAAAACAAGAAAGGGTTTTAAGACCGGAGGAGTATTATTCTATATTATCCATATACTATGTCAAAGCTACATATACTTGAATTTATTTATTTCATGATATGATTGGTAATAAAGGGAACGTTTACTTTATACTCTTTTCGTCCCTCATAGATCTTTTCAATAGCACTTTTTTTGTCAAAATGAGAACATTTTAGGGGGTGGAGGGAGTAGTTTATATTGGTTAACTATGCGAAATGACCATAAATACAAAAGAATTTGTTCAATTTTTGAATTGTTTGCTCATAGACCATAGTCAAATCGTGTAATAAATATTGCTCCTATCCCACAAAAAAAAATTCTCATTTCCTTTTTAGTTTCTCAAAAATAAATTATATTTTCTACCCCGAGTCCTCCTATTCTCCGGTGTTTCGTTCGTAAAATTGACGGTTCTTATACCTCCGGTAAACCGTACCCTCCCACTCCGCCCGACCCGAACACCCCCCCCCCCCTTCAATTACACCCCTCCAAGTTAATTTTAACTTGGAGTCAAATTTTAACTCCAAAATCAAAATTAACTTGGAGTGCAATTGAACGGGCCTCATTTAGATTTTACCTCATTTTGTTCTCCGTTTATCGTCTAGCCAGTTCTGAAGTCCCAATGTTTGGGTACAATAATTTAACTAACATACTACAATATTTTTTTTGGAACATGTGGAATAATTGAGAAAATGGGGTAAAGGCTAGAGAAAAAGACATCTAAAAATTATTTTTCAAAATGGGAGATTTTTTGTATAAGAATAAAAAACTATAAAAACACTGAAAGAAGATTTTTAAAACTTTTAGAATCAAAATAATAGTTCGTACTGTCATTGTTACAGTGTCTCATTTATCATATTGTCACACTACAGCTGTTACACCTTTACAATTGTTACACTCACCAGAGAAGCGCCACCAATCCCCGGCGTATGTTGCCCGATTGTCCAACAGCGATTGACTAATCACAATATTATATTACAGAGTCATCACTTTTTTATTACACTTTCAATTCTTTAACTTCCCACACTGCTATTATATACTCCCTCCGTCCTAAAACTTTCTTCCCAGAGCACTATTCCAACTTCACGAGAATTTATATTTATTTGTGTTTTTTCATGACCTATATGATAAAATAAAATATTTTTGTCACCACTTGTTTTGTTGAACTTTTGATGTAGTTTTTAAATATGTATGCTTTCAGCTTTTGTAGAAATCACTTTATCAATAAGTTAATCACTCCCAAACACCCTCTAATACTCTTATATTTATCTTAAAAGACTTAGAGTTCTATTTTAATGCAGGGGATTTTTTTTTCTATTTTGCTATACTTGACTATTTGAAATAGATAGAGTCAACGAAACTTATTTTGGTAACCTTATTTACAGGATTTTTATTTTTTAGACGGAAGACAATTTTCACTCTTCTCCCAAGTCCTAGCTAATCGAAAGTCATCAGGTTTTATTATTTTATAGCAAAAAAAATACTTTTCATAAATTATTGCTTAGAATTCTTTTCTATATTTCAAACAAACATTTGCATTATGTTTGCTTCAAAAAAGTTAAGGGGACGAATATATTAGGACAACATTAGTTGTAAGGGTACGCAAGGTATCACGATTGAGATAGATAATCAGATAATGTATTAAGCATTGCCAACGAAAGATTGAAACTTACCTTATTTCACAAGAATTATTTCAAATTACTTAATTTTTATGTCAAATTTTCAATATTTTCATTGTCGTTTTTTAGAAGGTCAGCAAATGAAGTTTTTCATTTATTAGCTTAATCACCCATCACATTGTAACCTTATGAAATTATGCAATAATTCTTTTGGTAAGCGTTAAATAGGTAAAACAATTTGAAGAAATATGTCAAAACCCACAAACAATTTACTCCATAATATTCTAACCATTCCTATTTCCAAATAAAAATAAGTTCTTCACTATCTCAACCAAACAATTTACGGTTTTTTTGTCGTTTACGGTTTCAATTCAACGTTAAACATCCAAACTTGAATCCTAAAGATTCTCTTTCACATGTAAAATAAAACCTTTTTTTACTGCTTTTTCCTCCCATAGCCACCCACCCAACAACCGCCTCTGCTTAGCAAATGTCCACCGCTTCTCCGCCCCCGGAAGAATCAACCTCCGCCGCCAGCGGCGGCGACGACAAGCCAGAGGGCGGTCATCGCTCCGGCGGCGGCCCTCGGCGACCACACATTTCGTGGTCAGATTCCTACACCAAGGCCCACGCCGCCATCCAAGCCCTCACGTCCATCGTCTCCGACGTCCCGGCCTCCCTCTCATCGTCGGAGACCCCGGCGTTCTCCCTCCTCCACGATCCCGACATCGCCGCCCAAATCTCTGAGCTCCTCCGGCGGCCGGACTCCAGCGCCGGCGACAACAACCTCTGCCGGTGGCTTTACGACACGTTCCACTCCTCCGGCGAGCCGGACCTCCACCTCGTCGTCCTCCGCTTCCTCCCCATCATAGTCGGGGTCTACCTCTCCCGCGTCGCCGCCCTCCACAAGCCCCTCGCCGGCTTCGAGGCCATCCTCTTGGCCCTGTACGACCACGAAACCGGGGCCCGCAACGGTCACGCGGTGACCGTTACGATCCCGGACCTCTCCCACTCCAGCATCTACCACGAGACCAAACAGGCCTCGAAGAGCTGCGCCACGGAGCTAGCCTTGGCGGTCATTTCGCCGAGCCTGGAGCCGTGCCGCAGCGTCCGGTCCACGAAGCGGGCCAGGATCGTGGGGACCGCTTTGGAGTTATTCTACAGCAAAATCTCACAAATGCCCCTCCGGGCCAAGATGGACTTTTGCGAGTTCTGTCAATCCTTGGGAGGGGACGAGAAGAAGGGGGAGAGGAGGGTAAATATGTCAAGGGAAATACTGCAGCCGGCGTTGAGGATATTAGGGCACTGTCTGATGGGGAATGGGAAGGAGGGGGAGTTGGAGACGGCGGCGCGTGAGGCGTGTAGGCGTCTATACAACAGAGCTATGCGTGACGTCAGCCCTAAGGATATTCTTGCCACCGGCAGCCTCCTTAAGCTTGCGTCATCTTCGGCCGGTAAAAATGAGGGAGGGATGGTCGATTACACTGAGATCACATTTACCAATAAGATCACTCTTTAGTTTATGAAAAAGGATTAAAAGGAAAGCTCACCATTGATACGATTATTATTTATCTTTTTGAAAGCAGGAATTATTTATATGCCTATTAGAAATTTTGATGTGAAAAAGTGAAATTCATTCATTCCCGTAACAAATTTCTTAGCTTCCTGCTGCTACACAGTATTCAAATTATTTTCAAAATGGCATGATAGTCATCACTCCACTATGGCCTTAGCGCCTTACACATCATCACGGATGGAACGTGCCTCCTAGTGGAGTGATGGCTCACGCTATTTTGAATTCATTTCTAATCATTTAAAGGAAAGCTCACCTTTTACTTCTAATCATTCGAATTTAACACACTACCATAAGACACTTATTTTTAATTTATCACTCCATATCATATTCATTTACACCAATCAAACTCTCGTCAAGCCTCCCATAACGCATGATCTTAATTACCTCACGCATGTTTATTCAATTTTTGATGTATTACGTACAAAGCTCATATTAATCCATTGGTTTTTACCTTAACCTATTAAGGGGTACATGATCTCGTCAAATATAAATCATTCTTGTTTGATTTTGATGTGATTTGACTCATATTAATTTATTGGTTTTTACCTTAACCTATACGATCTGATGTGAACTGCTTTGTCTCCATCTTATCTAATTCTTTAATCTCGTCCCGTCTCATCTCATTCTAACAAATAAATAATACTCCCTCCGTCCCATAAAACATTTCTCCTTTCTTTTTTCATCCGTCTCATAAAACACTTCTCATTTCTATTAAAAAGTCACTTTTACCCCTTACTTTTTCATACCCTACATAACACATCATACCTTTTTACTAATAATCTACCATCAAATCCTACTTTTACCCATCACATCAAAGGACATTTTTGGAAATTCAATACCAAAATACACTCTCTTAAATCTCTTCAAAAAGCAAAACATCTCATGTTTCATGGGACGGAGGGAGTACAAAGTACTTTATAAGTTATAAGAGCATCTCCAACCATATTTGTCATATTAGCTTTCTATTGTTGTATTTTAACAAGTGAATAGTAATATAGAAAATTATTTTTTGTCCTATTCTCCAATCATAACTTGCTATATTTTAAGTTTAAGAGGACAAAGATTGAAGGAGGAACGTAGATGTTCTATGGTGCAAACTTCAACGGAGATGCTTAATTTCAAAGTGGAGGATGGGCTTGCTATAATTTGATTGGCTTGGTATATTTAGCAAGCCAAACTTAATTTTTGACAAGCATGTTAAAATATAGCACACCCCTTGGAGAAAAGAAAAAGGGGGTGGTTTGCTATATTATAACTTTTAGCAAGTCAAAATGACATGATTGGAGATGCTCTAAGTATAAGAATATGTTGTGAAGAGATCAAGCTCATATGCCGAGGAGTATATTTTTCTTGCTCTTTTTAAAACCTTATTTCATTTGTTTGTCTCAACTAAAAATGTTCTGACTTCATCCAAAATAAAAGTAAACCAACATAACTCTTATAACCAAAGTAAAAATGATATATTTTTATCTTCAAAACATATCTATGTTATTGTGATGAAGTGTTCTTATTTATTGGCATTATATATCTTATAGAGAAATTTACCTAAATAGGACTAAAACATAATGACTTTCTCAATATATGACCTTATGTTTTATTTCCCAATGTATGACCTTTGGTCATTATCAAGTAGTCATTATTCAACTAAATGTCCATCATTACTGGACATTATTCCTCATACTAGGTCATTATTAAGTCCTATTTAGTGAATAAAAAAGTTTAAGTCCTACATTAGGAAAGTCATTATGTTTTAGTCCTATTTAGTGCAAATTTCACAATCTTATATTGATGATAAAATGTGATAGTCATATTTTGGATCTTTACCTTTGTTTTATTCTTATTTGCTATATGTAGTCTTTTTGTAGGTGTATTTACTATTTAGAACGTTCTAAAATAAAATTGTTTTGAAACTATCATTTTTGCAAGAAAAATCTTGACTACGTAGTTCACGTTATTATTTCTCTAAACGACACAATTTTATTTTTTTAACTGCGTAAAAGAAAAGGTGAGAATTTCATTTTGAGACTTAAAAAATACCACTAATTATTTTTAAACAAAAGTTGACTGTTCAAATTTTTGTAGAGTTCTTTATGCTGTTTTTAAAAGTATAATTTTTATTTATTATGTACATAATCATTTTTTATAGATTAAATTAAAAATAAATTCAATCAAATACTCCCTCCGCCCGAGAATGTTCTTCCCATTTGACTTTTCATAGTCTCCAATATTGCGCTTTGAGCATTAATATCTATATTTATACATAGATATATTTTATAAAAATATGATATTTGAAAATTACGTTTCATTATGAATATATTGATATTAAATTTACATCATAATACAAGGTATTATTCCCAGAAATCGTAGTCAAAGTTTACAAATTTTGGCAAAAAAAGTCAAATGTGAGAAACATTTTCGGAGGGAGTATTATAATTCGGGCCTCTTTTTGGACTAAAGGGATATATTTAAATCAGAACTCAGAAGTAGTCCATATACTCCAGGCTCGAAATTAGTTGGGCTGCCAATTTTAGATCCAAATAAAACCAAGATAGAAATAATAGAATCACAACTTTAAAACAAAAACAATCTAATAACGCAACCCTCTTTTTTAAATTTAAACCAACCCATATAAAGTAATTGGGCTGACACATGACCCATGTATAAACTCGACAAAAATAATCGTGGAATGAGAAATTACCTCCCTCCTTGAATATTTCTTGAGTTTTAAATTTTTTACAATTAAAACTAACAAATTTTGACATTAATTACATTAAATTAATATTTGATATTGATACAAAAAATAATTTTATTGGTATTTAATTTATAAACTATTTTTAAAATATTGTTTTGTCTCATTAACACTTAGCATATCATATAATCAAAACAGAATATGATTGACCGCAAAAAATCATGATAAAATTTATAAGAATACTCCTAGAAACTACACTCCTAAATTCATTTGTTTACACTATTACTCTTGCATTTCTCTCTTACTTAGTACTTACATCGCGTCGTGACTCTATCACTGCATATTCATCATCAGTGGTATTTGGGTCTGTCTTATAGTTCTGAGTCGCTAGTTGACATGCTCGCATGCTTATTCTCTCCTATCATCTTCTTAACGCAAAGCACCTCTGTCTTTTCGGTAAATCTAATCATTACTCTTATCTTATTCGTGCCACATTATTTTTTATTCTCCCCGTCTCAGTATATTTGTCCATGCATTTTGAGTTTTTCGGGTCAAAGTAGACCTACTTTAATCATCAACTACTCCTAAATTATATTGCATATTAATATAATAAAATTAAAATTTTAAAAGGTCTAAACAAGATAAATCAAATAAACTAATTTTTATGCTAAAATACATTACCATTGTTATTTAATTGGGATCTAAAGTTCATCCAGCTTGACTCGAAAAAGTCAAACTTCACACATACACTAGGACGGAAGTTGTATTTCTTGAGATTCTGAAGTGCAAATGAAAGGGACGAGGAGTGAATCACTTTAGGTGGATTAGCATTTTAGAGTAGAAAATGCAAGTCTGCATATTAACACTAGTGATAACTAGACAATTGTGGAATAACAACGCAAGTAAAAGAGTAATATGAGACAATGATAGTTAGGGTGTAAATAAATAAATTTGGGAGTATTTTTGTAAATTATTTGGAAATATTTATAAATGGTGAGAGCTGATTTTGTAAATAATTTAGTCAAAACAAGAAACAAAAAAATAGCTTAAAAAAGTAAGGCCTAATTATTTTTTCACGACATATATATATGCAGTCTATAAATTCCATTGTTAACATAGAAAAATACTCGGTACATAATTAGTTGACTTACAAGTCAAAACTCTTTATAAGTAATTTTAAACAACTTATAAATATAAAAAAACAATCACAAAAGACAGATACCAAACATAAATACTCCCAATGAAACATCATATAAATTCACAAAACCCTATTTTGATAATGCAACATGCACCAATTTTAAAGCTGTCCCACCAACAAATAGGGTGTCGAAATAAAACCACACCACAAGGAAAAAAAACCCACAACAAGACAAAATATGAAAACTGTCACTTTACTTGTGGGATGCACTATTTAATTTAAATAAAATTCCAAAAAAGATTATTTTCTTTCATTTAAAATTAATATTCTCATTCATTATTTACGAAAATAACTTTCATTTTTATTTTCAGTAATGTTTTTTAAAACTTGGTAAATGAAGTGATGATAAGACAACAAAATCGAATGGATGTTAAAATTGGGAACATGAAGAGATTTTGGTTACCTACTTTACTGTTGCTTGGTAGCTAATGCTATAACAATTGGGGCCATGCTACACTTACACAAAAAATTGTACCTCATTTATATACTATAGTTATACACAAATATTTTGATGGTTTACACCGACACAAGTGTTGGTGTGTTAACAAAAAATTTACACGGACACAAAGTATTGTTGCGTTAATAATTATTAGTTTTACACCAACACAAAATGTCAGTGTAAACATGCGGTGTACAAATGAGTACAAAAATTTGAGATACAAATAGCTTTATCCATAACAATTGCCATGAGACCGACTTTTTATACTGCTTTTAGTCTGTTATGGCGAGTATAAATATTGTGTGGATTTTATAAAATTTTCAAAATATGTTAAAAAGTATTCCATCTTTTCCAAAATATGTTTCCGGCATTTGAACACGAACTAAATTTACTTTAAAATAATTAAATATTGTATAGATTGATATTTCAAAATTATATTTTAAAATAAACTTAATCTTACTAAATTTACATTATAATTATATTAAATATAATTTTTTCATAATTTGCAATCAAATGGTGTCACAGTTTGACAACATTTTAATCAAACATTATATGGTAGTATATGTGTTATTTTTTCTTTATTTTTTTAAAGTTTTCTGATGTCTTATTTTTCATTTTCCTATATTTATTTAGGCTTATTTTATACACTTGTTTTGTTTAATATTTTATAATAAAGATTAAAAGGGGGGGGGGGGAATTAACAAACAAAAATAAATCAAATAAAACAAACAAAAAATTAAGATGTATGGTTTGATTTTTTTGTTT